TAAAATCATTGTATTCCAAGTAATAGATTTATACATACCTAATTGATGGTTCAGATACTGTTGGTAAATGTTTTGAAGGGTAGCCAATAGCACAATCATCAACTTCATTCACTTTATTTGAATCTTCTACAAGATCTTCAAGTCCATTTAAGCAACTGAGTGAAAATAAGTCATTTTAAAATACATACATTTATATATTTTTGAATACATACAAACCTATCATCCCACATGAGATGTCCATCATCCGGTGTATCATCTGATTCAACAGGCATAACTTCATTTACCAAGACCATATTTGAAGTACTTAATAAGCTTTGTGTTGATCTTTTATGTATTATAAATGTTAATAGTTAATTATACTAAATAATAATTTATAATTTGATATAATAATTAAATAAATGTTTTTTGTAACAAATTAATTTAATATTTTTTGTTCTTTTGAGATAAAGGTATTATAGTCAGTAGGGTATCAAGGATTTTTTTCAAGGAGGGGGGAGGGGGTTATACGATTTTTAATAGACATTCAGTATACACTTTTTATTTTCATATTATTATATACATGTTGTATTGTGTACAACATTTGCTCCACCAGGGGGGATATTACCATCATATCCCCCCATATAGATACGCCACTAATTATTTGTCAAAATGATTATAAGTTATAACTAAATTTATGTTAAATTAAAGAAATTATTCCATTTGGCTAAAATTATTTATGTTTCATCATATTTGTAAAAATAAATATTGAATGGCAACACCTATGGAAAGTTAGCATTTTGTCCTACCAAGAAAACCTAACTAAATTACAATTATTTACTACAACACATAAGATTAGTATTTAATGTAACTTTGCCTACAACTACTAGTAGTACACTTAGCCTACACATAATAAACTTACGAATGTGGTACAAAAAAGGAAATATCAGCAGCACTTTCATCTACTAATATATTATGTCCTTTAATAATTGTTGGACCGAGCATTTCCCATATTTCACTCTCAAACTCACTAAACACCTCCAAATCTAATTCTCCACCACCAGTTTTATTTCTTTCTTTTCTATTCACAACAAACCCCAATTTAAATAAAGTATTCAGTAATTTGAAATACCGGAATTATTCTTAAAACGACTAAGAACCTAAAAGAACAGGAAAACTTATTATTTATTTAAATGTGGTGATAGTTCTAAGTATTGTAAAATATGGGTTCCTACTATGTTTCGGTTCTTAGACTTCCTCCAAGAACCTCCTGTTTCTTTTGGTTCCGGTTCCAGTCCCTGCTTTACACACTAATTACAAATATATACATTTTTTTAATTTTCATAATCAATAAGCATTATATTTAAAATTTTTAAAAATTGTTTTTTTTTTGTTGTTCTTCTTTTCAGTGTTATCCAAGGTTGTTCTTGTTTTTCCTTGGTCTTTTTTTCCTATCACCGTTCATAATAACCACTGTATGTATATGTTTACACGAAAGAATAAATTAATTTTTAGAATCAAAACTACCACGATAGAGTTGCTAGGCACATAAGTTGGACAGAGGTAGCCAAATCTACTTACAACATCTTCGACTGTATTCAAGAAGAAAAAAAATATCAAAAAGTAAGATTTTACGAAAAACGAAAATTTATATCAAAGGTAAACCTAACTCCGAAGGACTTAAAAATTTCGTATTAGCTGATACAAATGGCTTAGTTTTAGATTTTTTTATTTATCAAGGTAAAAAAACTACAATTGATCATGACGATTGTGAATTTTCATTAACTTTGGCTGAATCAGTTGTGTGGCATTTAAGTGAAACAGTCACACCCAAAACTTGTTTATATTTTGATCGATATTTTACCACTGAAAAATAAGTACAGATACTACTAAAAAAAAAAATTTTTCTACGGGTACAGTAGGTAATGAAAAATCATTTGACAAAAAATATAACATTAACGTCAGATAAAGCAATGATGAAATCAAATAGAGGTACTTCAAAACAATATGTGAGAGAAGATAAAAAAAATGGTATTGGTAAAATGGTTTGATAATAAGCCAATCCATTTATTATCTTCGGAAAGAGGAAAAGAACCAAAAGATACTTGCCGCCGACGGTTAAAAAAAGAATTTAAAAAAATTGATGTTGAAAGACCTAATTGTGTTAAAAATTAAAATACATTTATGGGAGGTGTCGACTTGTGTGATCGCATGATAGCTCTTTATCGAATGAAATCTCATACAAATAAATGAACAATTCGTACAATTTTCCACTTTGTAGACTTGAGTATTGTAAACGCATGGATATAATACAAAAAAGATTGTGATAGTAAAAATATACCTAAGAAAAAAATTATGCCATTGTTAGATTTTCGCATTGAAGTAGCTCGTACTCTTATTATGGATGGTGGAGAAGACACCGACGTTAGCGATCGCGAAGAAAATAATTCACGTGAAGAAAATAGAGGCTGGTATAATAATTTACCACCGAAAGAATTTCGTAAAAGTGGACAACCTTTTACCAGTAGCAGAGGAACTTAATTTCCCAAATAGATGCCGTAGAGAAGGATGCAAATTTAAAGTCGTATTAAATGTGACAAATGTAATGTGTCTTAATAAAAATAACAACTGTTTTTATAATTTCCATAAATGTTGAATTTATAACTAATACTTGTTAATATGCTTAATTTTTTTATAATCAAAAACTTATTGTATTTTTTTGTCAACTACCTACAGTTAGTAGTAAAAAAGTTTTAATATTTTACTTTTTTTTTAATGGTCATACAAGAAGAGTATTTCTAGTAAATTATATGAATTATTTTATTATCTTTTAAATTTAAGTATCTTTAGAGTCAAACTGTTACTTGTCAATTAGTATTTATTGCTTATTATTTTAAAGTTAAAATTTATTTTAATTAACTTAATTAAAAAATATAATAATTTATTTTGAATTATTATTTAACCGTATGTAAACCTAATGACCTTTTTTGAGGACAATGTTTCAAGTTCAGAAAACCATTGATAATTGTAATCAAATCGTATACAAATAGTATTTTTCTTATCCAATATATGTGTACAATAAAATGTAATAAGATAAAAAAACTGAATTGTTGAAAAATTTTCAGGTGGTTCGTCGATTTTATTGCATGTACTATTTTGTACACATTAGTTATCTGCCATGATTTTTAAATATTCCCATCGGTGATCGGTCTGAAAAGGATATCTGACGGCACTTTGGTTTGCGCGCCTTCCGCCAGGTAGCGCTAAAAAGGCCGATCAACAACCGGCTGCTATAGAGAGGGCCGTATTGTAATGCCATTTTGCGTAATACCCGCGGTAGTTTTAAAATTTCAGACTTCAGTATTCAATATTCATTCAAATTTATAATAAATATAATCAAATGTGCACTTTATAATATTATAATTTATAATACTAATTAATACTATTGACGTAAAAAAAAAACTAAAGTGAAGAATGGAAGGATTCTCTATTTCTCTCTCGAATGCATTACTTTGTTACCTAATTAGTTACCTTTTTCTTTGTTATTTTTTTCCTTAAAAATAGCTTAATAAATCTAACAATTTTAATATATTTTTACTGTTAATTAAACTAAAAAAACAACCCAGGGATATACAGATAGGTACCTTGTAGATATGGGGGTAGATACATAATATTATGTACAACTAGTATATTGCTATTGAAAAAGATTCCTTCAATTCAGAAGTTCTGAAATTATAAGAAACCCCAAAATATAATTAGATTACATTTTATATTATTGATATAATTAATAAATTTATGTAGTAGCATCATTAAGTACAATTAGTGTCTTACTCATTCGGTGAATTTTGTTCTTGTACTATTTTAATTTCATCTAGGTCACTTGTTGATGCATTACAAACCCTTTTTTTTATTTCTTGCCTATTTTTTGGTGCCGATCTTTTTGTCCCTACATTTGAAAATCGTTCTGGTAAGCCTAAAAATATTGTCGGAATAGAATTTTCTCTCAATGCCGGACGTATTCTTTCAATGTATTTAATTGACCCATCAGGCATTTTACACTCATATCTTAAAAATTATCTCCTTTAAAATGTAAACCGCAAACTACAACTTTTATGGATAAGTTCCTATCTTTCCGTGGTATTTTATTATTGCATACAGACAGTAAGTCCTGCAAGATAAATAATTTTAAATCGTTCATGTTTATACCAGAATACCTGTATTAGTTGTTATGTAGCTTTTTATATATTTATTTTGTTTTTGTGATTATTATTATTTTTTTTTTTGTCTTTCTAGTTATATTTTTATTTATCCCTTTGTTATTAGTTAAATATGTGTCAATTATAGTGTAATGTTTTTTATAGGCATATGGATTGCTAACGCGATTTACGATCAATTTTTAACCAATGGGTCACATCAAAAAGTACTGTGTCTATGTAGATGTATACTGTAGTGGACAGTGTATTACTATTTAATATTTACTGGTTTATCTTAATCATTAACCCTACAATGCATGATTTTTTTTTATTATTAAAAAAATTGTTTTTGGATAGTACTATAGCTATAGAATACGTAAAAAATAATTTAAAAAATCTATTTTGATTTCAAGTGTTGAAAAAGTCGAAAAAGTTGGTTGTTGCTATAGAGCAGTAGTTCTCAACTTTTTTTGATTCATGTCACCTTTAGGCACTAGAATCAAACATCGCGTCACCCTAACTGTGTAATGTAAAAAAAAAAAAAAACCTAACATCAAAATAATAAACAATCTTAGCTGTATATATTAAAATTATTCTTTTATTAAAAAAAAAATACAGTACAGAAAAAAATTAAAGTTAAAAAAAAAATAATGATTTATATAAATTTAATGTGAAATTTGACCCTGGTGTTTTTTACAAAGTTGGGGAATCCTAGGGTTGATGGTGGAAAGAGCGAGTCTCATATCGTCTTCTATAGTTGTTTTTGTGAGTCTGTTGCGTTTTTTTGTTTTTATGGTTTTATTGGCAACACCAAATAAACGTACGCACCAATTTAATATTAAAATAATGAATGTATTTTATTAAATTGTTAGTAAAAAAAAACGATTTAAGTATAGCTGTATATTGTGAAACAAACACTGGTTATATTACGACTAATTGTAAAATAAATGTAAAATGCTCTTGTTAAACATACGTTATGTATAATGCTCGGTTCTAACTACGACTGACTGACCCCCTGTGTGTCGTCGAGACGGTGCCCCGTGTCACATCAAAAACCCTTATTCAGCGGTTCCCACGGTAGCAGCGTCGTACGACACACACTCTGCATTTTGATTATAAAGAAATACTTCTATATGTTTATTAACATATAGATGTATCGAAATAAACTGTATAATAGCCATGGGTTCTTAACACCCACCAGACTAAATGAGACACGGGGGTCCAATGACCACGGTGTTTCACCCAAATTAAAAGTTTCTGTAAAGTTTTGAATTTTCTGTGATTTGGGGTCAGTTCAGTGTGACAATAAAAAAAAATGAATATAATAATAAAATAAAATAAATATATATGTATAATAAAAGAAAATACACTACACTTTGGTGTCTTCCTGAGTACCATTAGACCGTTCTGCTTCTGGTATTTCAGGGTTATATAATTTTGTGACATTTTTTCTTAATTTAAAACTTAATATAATAGTTGTTAATATTGTTAGTGTTAAAATAATACAAATGACAATAACATGAATTTCAATGTTGAAAATTAACGAAGGCTCAGTTACGGTATGTGAAAGTTTATTTAACTCAACTGCTTTATTGGTTAGTTGGTTCAAATTTTGAATTAAGATTTTATTAGTGAGGTTCTGAGGAATTTTTGTTCTGACCATGTCTGAAAATGTGTGTAACGGTTCATTTCTAGCATTTTCTGGTATAATATCTAAATTAATATTCCTACTAGCTTTATTATTAGAAAATAATATAGAGTTTCTGAAATTAATTCTGCAAGATGGGAGTATAGTTATTCTGCCTACCCCCTCAATTTTGATCTTGGAATTTTCCATTGAATTTGTGCAAGTGATGGTACCTAATTCCGGTTGGGTGTAATAGATCCATGAATTAGTTTGCACCAACTGATGCCATATAGGGGTTGTTAAGGAAATGAATTTGAATTTGCAATGGTCTGGGTCAAATTGGTTATTGACTAGTAATGAAACTACACATACATTCGCTCCTGCACAATGTTGGATATGCTGATTACCTTTACAAAGTCTATAGGGTTTTAATGTTATACATTCTTCCCACTTTTCGTTATCTAAAGTGATAAAATTTTCGTTGTCTCTGGTCACACCTAAATAATCTATTTCAGGATCGACTAAGAAAATGGTTTGTTCACTGTGGGGTATGGGTAAAGGAATCGGATGATATATGTTATATTCATCACTGGAAATTAGTGGAATTTCTATTACATAGATAANAGACGATTCCTCTGTTGATTCATTGTCAAGCCTGCTTTGGAGAAAAGCCTCTCACTTGGTACCGAAGTAGCTACTGTGCTCAAATATTTTAATGCAATTTTGGACAGATTTGGATAAACTGAGGACATATCATTCCATAGTAATAATGGGTTGTCTGTCAATCTACCTACAGCGCTTTTTAAGTATACATTTAATTCAGATGGAAAACCAATTTCTTCTCTAGAGGCTCGCCCACGACTACGGCCACTTTGTTGAAACCTCCACTTTGATAAGACACAATATGCGAAAATGACTCACTTATGGTTTTTTGGAGTTTGTCTGTTGTTCCCTCACTAATAGATGGTATATTAACTATATTAGAAGAAGAAGATGTAGATGGCATATTTGAGGTAGAAGCTGTCGATGATATAGACAATGTTAAAGACGGATCATCAACATCTGAAGTTTCCAAATCTTGGTTTGGTGTTATAGTAGCCGTTGACTTTGCACTAACAATTTTATGCATGGTATTAAGGTGTCCCATTAAATTGGTTGTGTTGCCTGCAAATAAAATTACAGTTACATATTATTAACTTATAACTAGTAAGTTAAAACAATTATCATACACAATTTCTTATTTAATATGAGTTGGTACTTGGTATATAAAGTAACTAAAAAATGTATAATAAAAATAAATTGTGAAAAAATATTTTAAATTAATTATACTAATTTTCCATAACCTGAGAATCAAAAAATTATAGATAAATAATAATATATTTTTATTATAATCTTTTCCTTGATTATTAGGTATATTATAAAATATTAGTAAATAAGAAAATCACTTACCGCTTGTTTTTAATGTTTTCGAACATAATTGACAAGTGGCTGTACCATTATTATTTTTCATGAAATGCTTCCATACTATACTGCGACCCATAGTTTCAATGACAGTGACAACGACTGATCAAAACAATGAACAAAACAAACTGAACGTCGGTCTTCAAACGAGTCAAATTATTATTAAACATTAAACAATAAGCAGTAAACTATGAACACGAGGTTCGCAGAGTGCAGACCGCAGTACGTAGTACGCAAAGTCGCAAAACGGCAAAACGCAATAAGACGTTGCAAAATGAAAATTTGAAATTGTTCATTGTTGTATAATACTATAATGTTAAATGTATTGACTATTGAGGTTAGGTATCCAGACTGAGATAAGAAATGTGATATTGTGATAACGAAAAAGAGTGGTTATACGGTGACCATATGCTGGTTTGGACTTGTGGTATAAACTTATCATATTTCTTATCTCACTCCGGAAGAACTAGTAGGTACCCAGTTTAGCCGTTTAATTTTAATAGAGTTGGCACTTAACACTTTTACAGTATTTAGTATTATGATTGTTGTGTACTGCATACAAAAATAATACAAGTAAAAAAAAAAACAAACATTTCGATTTTCGAGGGCCTCAATTTTGATCTTGGAATTTTCCATTGAATTTGTGCAAGTGATGGTACCTAATTCCGGTTGGGTGTAATAGATCCATGAATTAGTTTGCACCAACTGATGCCATATAGGGGTTGTTAAGGAAATGAATTTGAATTTGCAATGGTCTGGGTCAAATTGGTTATTGACTAGTAATGAAACTACACATACATTCGCTCCTGCACAATGTTGGATATGCTGATTACCTTTACAAAGTCTATAGGGTTTTAATGTTATACATTCTTCCCACTTTTCGTTATCTAAAGTGATAAAATTTTCGTTGTCTCTGGTCACACCTAAATAATCTATTTCAGGATCGACTAAGAAAATGGTTTGTTCACTGTGGGGTATGGGTAAAGGAATCGGATGATATATGTTATATTCATCACTGGAAATTAGTGGAATTTCTATTACATAGATAAGATAACTATCTTTAAAGAATATAGTTTTTTCAGAGATTCGGAGAATATCATTAAGAGATTCTGGATTTACTTCCAATGGAAAAGTATTTCCAATTGGCAAGTCTACCTTAATTTCAAGAAGTTCTTTAATAATGTGCTGTGGAGTAAATACGCTAGTGTGGATTTTACCATCTAAAGCTGTGTTTATTATGGAGATAAGGTTCTGTGTTTCATAAGCATATTTATTTAATACTAGTTCAAATAATAATGCTTGTTCCAATACCTTGGTGCGGAACGTCAATTTATTAAGGTTTTGAATAGTATGGTCTGTTTGTGCTTGCAAGTACTGGAGGTTTTGTTCCAATTTTTGTTGTTGAAGTTCTAATTGTTGTGTAGAATGATTTGCTTCTGCTTGTAAGAATCTGATATTTTGCGGAATATTGCTTTTGCTGGATACTTTGCTTCTGTATAGTTCTGATATCTGATTTAGAATGAATTCAACGTCGATCTTCGAGCATACACCATACAGAACGTTGGCCATACGCCTGAAGGCTTGCCCCAATCCTCGTCGAACCCTATTATCATCAATGACAATTGCTAACATTAGACTTCTGAGATTAGCATCGATCTCATTTAAATATGGCAAAGTCGCTCTAGAAAATTGTTGTATAAACAAAAAACAAATCTCTTCAATTTCCACGCTACCAAATTTGTTTTGCATATTTTTGCAGATGGTCGTGGTTTCTCCATAGTGGTGCATGATGATATTGTACTTGGAAATTAGTGATTGTACATCCAAGGAGATTACTAATTTCCAACTAACATGTGATAATCTGGCTACTCCTTGTGACTCATAATAGATTCCTTGTTGGTCCTTGAATGACGTTAGATTGAACACTCGGTGATAATTATCGGAGTCCAATCCATTGGTTAAAGGTTCTGTGCTTCTTATAGAAATTAGGCTGAGTCTGAAACATAGTTAGACTCTTTCATGAAATTGTTTTAAAAGGTTCCGGTGTACCTTTACAGGTTTGTTTTTCTTAAGTATCGTGACATTTGGAGAATCTGGTTGGATATCTACGATGGGGTAAGGGCCTAACCATTTTGGTGTTAGTTTACCTTTTCGAGCTTTGTCTTGTATCAGGACTCTATCTCCTTCGACAAGGTTTAGAGGTGCTATTGATTTATCATAACGTTCTTTAGATTTGTGTTTGCTTTCCAATAGCTCCGTCCTCGCTAATTTATGAGCTTCCTGCATTTGTTTCTTCATTTCAAAGTGATAGTCTTCATAATTGTATTGAGGTTCCGGGTCTCGAGTGAACGAATGAGGAACTGTTATCTTATTTCCATAAACTAATTGGTATGGTTGGAATTTGGTTGCAGTATGTACCGTTGAGTTGTGACAGAACATAGCAAACGGAACATAAGTGTCCCAGTTTTGAGGATCTTTGTCGACAAAACTTCGTAAGTAGTCCCCTAAGGTTCTGTGGCTTCGCTCTAGAGAGCCATTACTTTGAGGATGATATGGAGTGGTTGAAGTTTATTTAATCTTAAGAAGTTGGCAGACTTCTTTAAATACGTGACTCAGAAATTCTGTTCCACAGTCAGTGACAAGACTCTTTGGAAGTCCATGTAAGCACACAAATTGGGTTACAAAATGATATGCTACCGTGTTCGCTTCATGATTTATCATAGGGACGGCCCATGCGAATTTGGAAAGGTCATCTTGAAGAGTTAAAATGAACATATTTCCTTTATGTGATTGAGTAAATGGTCCTACAATGTCCATGAAGACTTTCTCAAATGGTCTGGAAGATGTGGTGGTTATAACCATTGGTTCTTTGACTGATCGATTCGGCATTTTATTACGTTGGCAAATCTCACAGGAAAGGATATATGTTTTGATCATCTGTCTCATTCCTTTCCAATGGTGATGCTGTGAAATTCGTTGGAATGTCCGTTGTATTCCTTGGTGTCCCCCCAAGGGAGTCTCGTGAAATTCTCGAATAATCTGTAACTGGTCGTCTTTCGATAACTGTTCTGGTGCAGAGTTGGGCAAAATTTTATCTAGATAATTATTCGAATAAATCTGTATTCGAATAAAAAACTATTCGAATGATTTTTTTACAATTATTCGAATAAACATGTATTCGAATAATTTTCAACTATGATCATTCGAATAAAAAACTATTCGAATAATTTTCAACTATGATCATTCGAATAAAAAACTATTCGAATAATTTTCAACTATGATTATTCGAATAAAAAACTATTCGAATAATTTTCAACTATGATTATTCGAATAAAAAAACTATTCGAATAATTTTCAACTATGATTATTCGAATAAATTTTAAAGACGGTTATACGAATAATTCTTGGTTATTTAATTTGATTAAACATAGTTCATAATAAAATCATTTTTTTAGATATTGCTATTATCGTATATAACATATCATACTATATACGTACTAAGGTACATAATATGTTGTATCTCATATTTATAAGTTCAAATATAGAGCTCCACACAAAAATATAATAAGGTAGATGTAGGCTTGTACTCTGTAGGTTGTAGTTATAAAAGTTATCTGTTTGATTATAATATATGATATCTAAACATAGAAAATGTGGTTTTTTCAAATGTACTTTGTACTTTCTACAGTTTGAAGATAATCTTATGATTACTTGTGTCGTATTGTCACGTTAGTTTTTCTATGCGCAAGTGCCGAGTAGTGAGTACCTACGTATGAACGTGTGACAGTCGTGTTTAATTTAATTTAAAATATCAATTAATTTCAATATGAATTCCTTGAATATACATAATGAAGATTCAATAATTTCAACACAACAGTCATCTGAGGATAATACTGAAGTGTCTGAAATGACGGATTCAGCTATGTCCATTTTAGATGGTAAGTTTTTTAAAATAAAATCTAAAATTGAAAAAAATAAAGTAATTGCTACATGCGTAATATGTGAGCCACGTAATGTTGAAATAAAAGGATCATTATCTTCAACATCTAATTTTAAGTCACATCTCAAAAGAAGACATGATCAATCCGTTATTGAATCATATGACAATTATTTATCAGAAAACGATTAAGAATCAACGATTCTAAAACGGATAATGCAGTTAGTAGAGTACATCGTGTTAAATATACACAAGACCAATTTGACAAAGATATCACACATTTTATTATACATTCAATGGTTCCATTAAGAACTGTAGAAAATCCATATTTCAAAAAAATATTTGATAATATTGGAGTCACTAAAACAATTATTGTTCCGAGTCGACGAAATCTTGGGAGAAAAATTCATAATTTATTTCAAGACTCGAAAGAAAAAATAATAAACGACATTAAAGGTATACAATATGTATGCACCACAACTTATGTCTGGTCATCAAAGAAGAGAAGTTTTTTGGGTGTGACAATACATTGGATCGATGTCGATAATTTTCAACGGCGATCATCGAGTTTGGCTTGTCGCAGATTTCGCGGAACACATAGTTATGACAAAATTGCTGATATATTACAAGACATACATTTAGAATACAATTTGAATTGTAATAAGGTAAGTAATTGTATATACTATATATTTTAATAATGTGTATAGTATATGTATGCATATAATAATGTATATGTATATACTTCGGTGAAATATCATAAAAATCATTTAAATACAAATATTGATAATAATTTCCCTATTTACTAATTTATAGATAATCGCAACAATTACTGACAATGGAAGTAATTTTGTCAAGGCGTTTAAAGTGTATGGTGTTAAATTAACTCACTTTGATAATACTGAAGATAGTGAGTATGGAAATATTGATTTATTTGGTGATGCAGCATCGGTAGATAGCCAGGGACAGGACGATGAACAAATAACTAATTATGATTTAGTAGAAACAACGGAAGAACTTGAAAATAATCCATGGCTACCTCGACATTTACGATGCTGTGCTCATACATTGAGCCTTTTTGCTACATCTGATTTAATTAAAACTATTCTATCACCGCAAAACTCACAACTAACTGAAATACACACTTCGGTAATGAAAAAGTGTACATTATTATGGAACGCTTCAAATAGGCCAAAATCTGCTGAGGTAAATTTTTAGTTTTTTACATTATTATTTACTCTTATATTTTTAAATAATTACAAATATTATACTTTATTTATTTAGGTCATATTACAGACATTGGGCCATAATTTATCAAGACCCGGGGATACACGTTGGAACTCTTTATATGACTCTTTGAAACAAATTTTAAAATATAAGGAGAAAAATTGTGAGTTATTCGAAGCATTAGGATTCAAGAATAGCATGTTAAAGGATTCGGAATATTTATATATAGAAGAGCATTTGAATTGCGTTGGTCCTTTGGCGGAAGCATTAGATATTCTCCAAGGTGAAAATAATATTTTCTATGGGTTTGTTCTTCCAGTCATATTGAGCTTACGCCGCAAAGTTAAGAATTTGTTACTAAATAATTGGAGATATTGTGAACCTTTAGTTAACAGTATCCTCACAAGTATTGAAAAAAGGTTTTCTAATATAGTACAATTAAATACAATTGAAGCAGAAAACGCTATGATTGCCGCATTTTCACATCCAAAATTTAAAAACCGTTGGCTAAGTTGCATTGACTCTTCTCAACATGATCGATGTATTCAAATATTTAAAACAGCAGTAACTAATAAAATAAAAGAAATAAGTACTATTTCATCAACAAATTCAGAATCACCAGAATTGTATGAGCAATCAACATATGAGGAAGCACACGATTTTTTTGACTTTGACCCATTAGTTAACATTGACAGTAACGCTCAACAAAGTAGACGATCTGCAGCATCAGAGGCAGAAATACAGGTACATTATAGTAAATCAATTACAAAATTATAAATTGTAATATAATTAATAATTATTATTTGTATTTTTGTAGGTCGTACAATTTTTCAACAACTTGTCTCAAGACCTGTCAATTCTTCATCAGTATCCGCCAATCAAAGAGATATTTTTACGCTATAATACACCAATACCGTCATCAGCTGCCGTCGAAAGATTATTTTCTTATGCAACCATGACTAATTTACCAAAATCCAACAAGCTATCAGATGATATGTTTGAAGAGAGGGTTATTTTGAAATCTAATTTAAAAATGCAGTAATAACTAATAAGTATATTGTTATAATTATTATAATTTTAATTAGTTTCTTCCTATTATTATACTTATTTATTAAAATTCTAAATTTGTTATAATCGTACATTTTCATTTTTGCTGTAATTATTTATTTATGTTTTTGTAATTATTATTTATTACTATTTATGATTGTTGTAATAATTGTTATGAAATATTACCATTAAATATTATTCATATTATAATATTATAAAACTATTATTAAAATATAATTTAAAAAAACAAATCTAATTTTCTAATTCTTAACTTTCTTCTATTATATTGATAGATATTTGTTTATTGTTTATTCGAATATCTATGTTTAAAATTGAATCGGTTAATTTTTTATTCGAATAACAATAGTTGAAAATTATTCGAATACATTTTTATTTGAATAATTGTAAAAAAAATTATTCGAATGATTTTTTATTCGAATAATAATGTTTTTAAATTATTCGAATAAATTTTAATTCGAATAATTGTAAAAAAATCATTCGAATAATAATTTATTCGAATAAAATGTTAACTAAATAATCATCTAGATAAAATTTCATTCGAATAACGCCCAACTCTGTTCTGGTGTTATAATTTTTATCTCT